TTCCTTTGTTTTCCTTTTTGGCCTCGTCTCCTGCTCTCGTCTCATCTGTGATTCTTTTATTCTTCAGAATCGTGGAGACTTTGACGCCTTCACCTCATTACCTTCAGCGGCGGCGGCCATCTTCCCTCTCGCTCTAATCTCAGGTCTGTCTCAGGTCGTCATTCAAAGGCTCAGATAAATCCTCTCCAGCTTTAGCCTCTCTCCTCTCCCCCATCTCTCTCCTCTCCTCTCTCTACCCTCCTCTCACTACTCTCCTCTCTACCCTCCTCTCACTACTCTCCTCTCTACCGCATCTCTCTCCTCTCCTGTCTACCCCTCTCCTCCCCTCTCTCTCCATCATCTCTCAATCATCTCTACTCTCCCCCTCTCCCCCCATCTTTCACTCTACTCCTCTCCCCCTCTCCCCCTCCCCCCCTCTCTCGTGTCTTGGGCGTTCTCAATGATTAAACGCCACTTTAATTGTAACACTTTTATTCAGTGCCTCACGTCTGCGTCTCACTAAGTTCAATCATTATTACTCAAAGATGTGACGCTGCTGCTACAGAAAGACCATAACATTAACTCAACCACTTCACACAGAATTGGTGCGATTAACACATGAAGGTGAATATGGGGCGACAACCTGAAGGAAAGTTTATCTGTATAGCACGGTCTGTACGTGACAAAGGCCTGAACCAAGCATCATAAATAATCACAATGAAAAGACTAAAGATAAAAACCTTCAGTTGTTGCAGAAACAGAACTGTTTTTAACCTGGATTCGAACAATGTTAGCGAAGAAGTCTGTCTCACAATTTTCAGTCCCTGTGCTCCTCAGAGTCCCAGCAGGAGGCCAGTCCCTGTGCTCCTCAGAGTCCCAGCAGGAGGCCAGTCCCTGTGCTCCTCAGAGTCCCAGCAGGAGGCCAGTCCCTGTGCTCCTCAGAGTCCCAGCAGGAGGCCAGTCCCTGTGCTCCTCAGAGTCCCAGCAGGAGGCCAGTCCCTGTGCTCCCCAGAGTCCCAGCAGGAGGCCAGTCCCTGTGCTCCTCAGAGTCCCAGCAGGAGGCCAGTCCCTGTGCTCCTCAGAGTCCCAGCAGGAGGCCAGTCCCTGTGCTCCTCAGAGTCCCAGCAGGAGGCCAGTCCCTGTGCTCCCCAGAGTCCCAGCAGGAGGCCAGTCCCTGTGCTCCTCAGAGTCCCAGCAGGAGTCCAGTCCCTGTGCTCCTCAGAGTCCCAGCAGGAGGCCAGTCCCTGTGCGCCTCAGAGTCCCAGCAGGAGGCCAGTCCCTGTGCTCCTCAGGGTCCCAGCAGGAGACCAGTCCCTGTGCTCCTCAGAGTCCCAGCAGGAGTCCAGTCCCTGTGCTCCTCAGAGTCCCAGCAGGAGGCCAGTCCCTGTGCGCCTCAGAGTCCCAGCAGGAGGCCAGTCCCTGTGCTCCTCAGAGTCCCAGCAGGAGGCCAGTCCCTGTGCTCCTCAGAGTCCCAGCAGGAGGCCAGTCCCTGTGCGCCTCAGAGTCCCAGCAGGAGGCCAGTCCCTGTGAGTTGGTTCATATGTCACTGTCATGTCACATATGTACTTTGGTAAAAGGCCAGAGCTGCTTTTAAGTCTATTCTCTGAGCCACTATTCTCTCTGGACTAATGTGATCCTACTTCCTTATTCTAGTCTGGACTAATGTGATCCTACTTCCTTATTCTAGTCTGGACTAATGTGATCCTACTTCCTGGTTCTGGTCAGGACTAATGGGATCCTACTTCCTGGTTCTGGTCAGGACTAATGTGATGGTACTTCCTGGTTCTGGTCAGGACTAATGTGATGCTACTTCCTGGTTCTGGTCAGGACTAATGTGATGCTACTTCCTGGTTCTGGTCAGGACTAATGTAATTCTACTTCCTGGTTCTGGTCAGGACTAATGTAATTCTACTTCCTGGTTCTGGTCAGGACTAATGTGATGGTACTTCCTGGTTCTGGTCAGGACTAATGTGATGGTACTTCCTGGTTCTGGTCTGGATCTAGTGCTGTACTCTGACAGACTATAGAAAAACGCCGGGCTGTTGTCTTATTGATTCTGGACAAAATGGCAGCCTGTTATGTCTTATAGATGTGGAAACTTCTTGGCTGGACATAAATAACCCACGGTGACCTCCTCTGGTCCGTCCATTTCATCTCTAAACACACACTTCTGTTTTAAACTCATCTTCTCCGACAGATCGAGTCCCAGCGCAGCAGCAGGACTTCACACCAAACATGTTTCATCAAACCGGTGGTTTTCGAGCCGTCTCCAGCGCGGCCATTGTTGTTCCATCATCTCCTTCATCTCCACATTTGTCTCACACGCTCAGGGCTCTACCTCTTTTCTTTCCAACACATTCTGACGCCGCTACTGTCTTTACAAACACTGCTTTCTTCCTGGTTTGGTGACAGTTAATTGAAGATTTTTAGATTGTGCAAAGATAAATCCATCTTTGAAAACTATCTTTGATCCACGTTGACACTCATTTGGCTGCAGGAGGATCTGATCGAAGAAGTCAGAGATGTGAAAGTGCCAGAAATGTCTTTATTCCTAATTTATATTATTAGTTTCAGCCTGTGCCGGTTTCTCAGTTATAACAATGGTCTCGTATAATCCAGAAATACTTGTTCCTGCTGCGCGACTCCTGCATTCCTCCGACAGGGATCCATAAAGCATCTGTATAACTGCATTTATACTTTGAGTGCTTTCCTTAGGCGTGTATTAAAGTAAGTGTTAATAATCTGCATTTGTGCTTCAAGAAGATGGAACTCAGCATCTACAAACTCTGCTTCCAATAAGAAAAGTGGACCTGACAAACAGGAGAAGAGCAGAAGCTGAGATAAAAGCGAATATATACAATGAAGTTATTATAGAGGCAAAGATTACATTTCCAGAGTCTGTCTTTGGTAGAGTTCAGTAATGTTTGGATTAAGACTGATAGCGGAAAGACAGAGCAGGTTCAGTTCATAGACTTTGATTATTTTGGGTTCACTGTTTAGACAATAACAGACTAAGTGTCCTTTCCCAGGTCACAGTCGACTGGAAACAGCAGATTACTAATATTCAGAACATTATTATTATTGGCCGACCTTTAAAGTTTTCCTGATTGAGGCCTTCAGCACAGAGAATTATCTTTCATTTGTTTCATTACATTAAAGTAAAATACATGCTTTTTATTGTGTTTTACAATTGTTATTTTTCTAGCTTTTTTGAAGTGTGTGTGTGTGTGTGTGTGTTATGTTAATATGAGTCTTGTTCAAAGCCGAATACACTGCAAAAAGTGATTAAAAGTAGGTACAAAATTGCTCAAATTTGGCTAAATGTGTCAAATCTGAGCACGTTGTAACTTTATGGTAGAATAAGAGGATTTTCTACTCCTGGGTGGATCATCAAGACTATTGGTCCTGCAAACTGTCAATCATTCTGGTGATATGAGCTCGTCCAATAAGAGCAGAGAGTTTTGTTAAAAAAGTGAAGAGGGCGGTTCTTTCCTAAAATTGGGGACAATCCTCCAATAAACCTTTAAAGCCAGATTCTCCAAAGAGACAAAGCAAAATGATCTTGTTTTATAAAAAATAAAGAAACAATGCAAAATCAATCATTTTTTTCAGTGTGACAAAGTCTTAGCGAAGGACAGTTTGACCAATTCTCCAAACGTTCCGGAAGCAAATGTTTTGTGTTGATTGAAGTCTGTATGTGTTAAATGTGTTTTTGGAGGTTTGAAAATGACTCGTGTGAAAGAAAAACAAGTGCCAGAGTCTGAGCGACAGAGAAATGAGAGAAATGACTTTGAGCTCGACAAATATCGAGGAAATGTACTTGTATTTTGACACGAAAACTAAGTGGACGTCAGGCCTGAAAGGATCCATTTATCACAACAAACCCGGACCTTCTGCTGGGACTCTGGGGAGCACAGGGACTGGCCTCCTGCTGGGACTCTGGGGAGCACAGGGACTGGCCTCCTGCTGGGACTCTGGGGAGCACAGGGACTGGCCTCCTGCTGGGACTCTGGGGAGCACAGGGACTGGCCTCCTGCTGGGACTCTGGGGAGCACAGGGACTGGCCTCCTGCTGGGACTCTGGGGAGCACAGGGACTGGCCTCCTGCTGGGACTCTGGGGAGCACAGGGACTGGCCTCCTGCTGGGACTCTGGGGAGCACAGGGACTGGCCTCCTGCTGGGACTCTGGGGAGCACAGGGACTGGCCTCCTGCTGGGACTCTGGGGAGCACAGCGACTGGCCTCCTGCTGGGACTCTGGGGAGCACAGGGACTGGCCTCCTGCTGGGACTCTGAGGAGCACAGGGACTGGCCTCCTGCTGGGACTCTGGGGAGCACAGGGACTGGCCTCCTGCTGGGACTCTGGGGAGCACAGGGACTGGCCTCCTGCTGGGACTCTGGGGAGCACAGGGACTGGCCTCCTGCTGGTCCCAGAGTCAGGACTAAACATGAGGAGGCTGCACAGTCTTCCTGAAAATGTGAGACAGACTCTTCTTCTCTGACGATGTTCAGGTTCTGTTTCTGCAACAACTGAAGGATTTTATGTTTACTCTTTTTAATGACCTGTGATTATTTATGCCTCATTTTGTTCAGCACTTTGACTTAAAAACAACTAAAACACAAAAGTAATCTCCTTTAATGTAAATACAGCCATGTGTTAGATTTACTTTGTGTTTAGTGCTTTTCTTTCACTGTGGAACAGAGTCTGTAGGGCCTGTGTCTGTAGAGCCTGTGTCTGTAGGTCCTGTGTCTGTAGGGCCTGTGTCTGTAGAGCCTGTGTCTGTAGAGCCTGTGTCTGTAGAGCCTGTGTCTGTAGGGCCTGTGTCTGTAGGGCCTGTGTCTGTAGAGCCTGTGTCTGTAGGGCCTGTGTCTGTAGGTCCTGTGTCTGTAGGGCCTGTGCCTGTAGAGCCTGTGTCTGTAGGGCCTGTGCCTGTAGGGCCTGTGTCTGTAGGGCCTGTGTCTGTAGGGCCTGTGTCTGTAGGTCTTGTGTCTGTAGCTCCAGTGTCAGTAGGTCCTGCTCTCACCGTGGGGATGCGGGAGATGATGTCTGGGTACTTGGAGGTGTTGTCTTCCTGGTTGCGGCTGAAGACTCGCACGTCTCCGTTCTGCAGGATGTGGATCTGAGGAAACACAGACATCAGACACAAATAGAGGCGACAAACACGAGGCGAGGAAAAAGTGTGAGAAGCATTGAGACACGTTTGTATTTCTGTTCTCACCGTCACAGACACGACGAACACAGATGTTTAGGGCTGTCGAAGAGTTACGGTATTTCACATAATCACATTCATGTCACTGTTGAGTCTAAGGCTTGATGTAGGTGCCCGTGGTAGAAGCCTGGACACACCAAACTGAACCGTGTCTGTCTGGGCAGCGACGCAGATAGAGAGACCAAACAGGAGGACAAAAAGTGAGTGAGTGAGTTAGACAGATGGAGACAGAGAGACAGACAGACAGAGAGACCGAGAGACCGAGAGACAGAGAAAGAGACAGTGAGTGAGTTAGACAGATGGAGACAGAGACAGACAGAGAGACAGAGAAACCGAGAGGCAGAGAGACAGAGAGAGAGAGAGAGAGAGAGAGACAGAGACACAGAGACAGAGAGACGGGGATAGAGAGACAGGGAGAGAGAGACCGACAGAGAGAGAGTAGATAACAACAAACACTATAAACCATGTACAAAAGGCAGGTGCATTGCTCAAGTCTCCCTGTAGTTCAGAGGAATATTTTAGTTACTTAGGACAGAATTCCACATCCACTGAACAAATCAATTCATAAAAACAACAATAATCAAAACGCAGATCTACTGTTTGTATATTTGAGTTTACCATGAAATAAACAAAACCATATTTAACAGTTCAAGAGCTGAACAGACTCAAAACACAACAGTCTTTGTAGCGACATCTGAAGCCTCCGACTCTTTTCATTTCAAAGGCATCTATTGTCTCCTGCTCACAGCCTCAGCCCCCTCTGTGTGCCACAGTGCCCCCTGCTGGCCCTCTGGAGAACACAGGGAATTATACAGGAGGGGAGTGGTTAGGCCTAACAGGACAGAGAGGAGGAGAGAGGAGGAGAGAGGGAGAAAGAAGAGAGAGGGGGAGAGAGTGGGAGAGGGGGAGAGGAGAGAGGAGAGGGGGGAGGAGAGAGGGGGAGGAGAGAAGAGAGAGGGGGAGGAGAGAAGAGAGAGGGGGAGGGGAGGAGAGAGGGAGAGGAGAAGAGAGGAGGAGAGAGGGGAGAGAGGAGAGGGGGGGAGGAGAGGGGAAGGAGAGAAGAGGAGAGAGGGAGAGGGGAGGAGAGAGGGAAAGGAGAAGAGAGGAGAGAGTATGCTCCTCACTACCTGCAACATTTGTTGGTTGCATCCAGTTCTTACATTTCAAAGTACTTAGCTCTCTGCTGCCACCTACTGATATAGATAGTAATACAATAATAAAAAAGTATTAAGTGGTTACTCCACACTAGTGTCGCGGCAGTGGTTAAAAAACAGTCTCAGAACATAGAGCTGTATATTGGCGCCTGTGTTGAGAACATAAAGCTGTATATTGGTGCCTGTGTTGAGAACATAAAGCTGTATATTGGCGCCTGTGCAGAGAACATAAAGCTGTATATTGGTGCCTGTGTTGAGAACATAAAGCTGTATATTGGTGCCTGTGTAGAGAACATAGAGCTGTATATTGGCGCCTGTGTTGAGAACATAGAGCTGTATATTGGTGCCTGTGTTGAGAACATAAAGCTGTATATTGGTGCCTGTGTAGAGAACAGAGCTGTATATTGGCGCCTGTGTTGAGAACATAGAGCTGTATATTGGCGCCTGTGCAGAGAACATAGAGCTGTATATTGGCGCCTGTGTTGAGAACGGAGCTGTATATTGGCGCCTGTGCAGAGAACATAGAGCTGCATATTGGCGCCTGTGTAGAGAACATAGAGCTGTATATTGGCGCCTGTGTTGAGAACATAGAGCTGTATATTGGCGCCTGTGCAGAGAACATAAAGCTGTATATTGGCGCCTGTGTAGAGAACAGAGCTGTATATTGGCGCCTGTGCAGAGAACAGAGCTGTATATTGGCGCCTGGGTAGAGAACAGAGCTGTATATTGGCGCCTGTGTAGAGAACAGAGCTGTACATTGGCGCCTGTGTTGAGAACATAGAGCTGTATATTGGCGCCTGTGCAGCGAACATAAAGCTGTATATTGGCGCCTGTGCAGAGAACATAGAGCTGTATATAGGCGCCTGTGCAGAGAACATAGAGCTGTATATTGGCGCCTGTGTAGAGAACAGAGCTGTATATTGGCGCCTGTGCAGAGAACAGAGCTGTATATTGGCGCCTGGCTAGACAACAGAGCTGTATATTGGCGCCTGGGTAGAGAAAATAGAGCTGTATATTGGCGCCGGTGTAGAGAACAGAGCTGTATATTGGCGCCGGTGTAGAGAACAGCTGTATATTGGCGCCTGTGTAGAGAACAGAGCTGTATATTGGCGCCTGTGTTGAGAACATAGAGCTGTATATTGGCGCCTGTGCAGAGAACATAGAGCTGTATATTGGCGCCTGTGTAGAGAACATAGAGCTGTATATTGGCGCCTGTGTTGAGAACATAGAGCTGTATATTGGCGCCTGTGCAGAGAACAGAGCTGTATATTGGCGCCTGTGCAGAGAACAGAGCTGTATATTGGCGCCTGTGTAGAGAACATAGAGCTGTATATTGGCGCCTGTGTAGAGAACAGAGCTGTATATTGGCGCCTGTGTTGAGAACATAGAGCTGTATATTGGCGCCTGTGCAGAGAACATAAAGTTGTATATTGGCGCCTGTGCAGAGAACATAGAGCTGTATATTGGCGTCTGTGTAGAGAACATAGAGCTGTATATTGGCGCCTGTGCAGAGTACAGAGCTGTACATTGGCGCCTGTGTAGAGAACATAGAGCTGTACATTGGCGCCTGTGCAGAGAACATAGAGCTGTATATTGGCGCCTGTGTTGAGAACAGAGCTGTATATTGGCGCCTGTGTAGAGAACAGAGCTGTACATTGGCGCCTGTGTAGAGAACATAGAGCTGTACATTGGCGCCTATGTTGAGAACATAGAGCTGTACATTGGCGCCTGTGTTGAGAACATAGAGCTGTACATTGGCGCCTGTGTTGAGAACATAGAGCTGTACATTGGCGCCTGTGTTGAGAACATAGAGCTGTATATTGGCGCCTGTGCAGAGAACATAGAGCTGTATATTGGCGCCTGTGCAGAGAACATAGAGCTGTATATTGGCGCCTGTGTAGAGAACATAGAGCTGTATATTGGCGCCTGTGTAGAGAACATAGAGCTGTATATTGGCGCCTGTGTAGAGAACATAGAGCTGTATATTGGCGCCTGTGTAGAGAACAGAGCTGTATATTGGCGCCTGTGTTGAGAACATAGAGCTGTATATTGGCGCCTGGGTAGAGAACATAGAGCTGTATATTGGCGCCTGTGTCTCTTCCCAGTTCAAAGTCTCTTTATTGGCGTGACTGTCTAAAATTAACAATAACGCCTCCAGCTTTTGCATTAAAAACTCTGGATCTCTGCTGCCTCCTGTAGAGCTGCAGTAATCTCCCCTCTCTCGCTCTCTCCCCCTCTTTCTCTCTCTCAGTCTCTCTCTCTCTCTCAGTCTCTCTCTCTCTCTCAGTCTCTCTCTCTCTCTCTCTCCCCCCCTCTCTCTCCTTTGACTGCGTTTAAGCCTTTTCCAGTCTTCTTTCTCCCTGGAAAGCCCAAAGAAGCTGCAGTCTGAGGTCTGAGGCGACGGCACGGCTGTGTGGAGGAGTCTGTTAAAGATGTTTTCTTCCTCAACATGAAAAATGAAGCCGCTGGAGTCAGAAAAACAACTTTTGGTTACAGCAGCGCAACCAATACAGAGCTCAAAACACAAATTTGGGTTTGGGAAGTATATTACACTTAGCAAAAAGACTTCTCAAACCATTCATTTGGAAGAGAAATGGGAAAATACTAAAAAATACATAGAATTAAACATTGGAGAAAACTACAATGAGAAAAACAGTTGGATTCTGGCAAATACTGAGATTCACGTCCCTCCTGTTATTAATATTATTGATTATGCATTAACTGAGGAACATTTCTTATATTAGTTTGTTTTTTGTTTTTTTTGAGATTTTAATTTGTGCAAAAAGTCAAACAAAAATCCATGGGTTTGATGAATAATTACAGAGAAGCAGAACAACTACGACAAACAGCAGAATATAGTAGTTCAGAAATGGAAAAGGAAACAGTTGAATCCTTAAAAGACAGAGTTAAGAGAATACAGAATAATGAGAAAACCACAGTTGGATTCTGTGATATATTGAGATCCATGTCCCTGTTATTATTAATTAATTATTATTAAGTCACATGTATTATCTGCAGATTAACTGAAACGTCCTTTAACTTCCAGGACCTCATGCAGCGTGTGTGTTATTGGTAAAGTTACATTACGGAGTGAAAGCTGCCGGAAAACGAGCTGACCGATGGAACATGTTTAGAGGTTATTTGTGTGTATTTTTTGGGCAAATAAGCTCCAGCTGCTTCCTGAGAGTTCCCTAGTACTTAAAAATGACACTGTATAATTTCTATAGTTGCTCCAAATGAAAAAACATATTAACCAAAAACAAATGACCTTTAAGAATATTTACCTCCGCCATGTTTTCTAGGCTTAGAATGTGACTTATAAATGTCTCTGTAAGACCTCCATCTTGGATTACAGTGGGTGAGAAGGGACCAAAAGGAGCGGGAGTTATGGACCACTGTCATAAGCTGCGTTTCCATTGAGCATCAAATTTCGAAATTTGAATTTGCGCATCATAAAATGTCTAATGGAAACGCGCAAATTTCGAATAAACCACAGTTTTTCGATAAAAAGTTAATGCGCTTAAAATAGGTGGTTTTTTGGACGTATCGAAATTAAGTTTTTCGCAAAACGGCAACGGAAACACTTATTTCGATATAGCGGAGGAAGCCGAGCTGAGCTTTATTCAGTGAGTTTTGGCTGCGCTTCGTGTGGAGACTTGGGAGATAAGTGGGAGAGGCATGGGGGAGAGACGGGGGAGAGATGGGGAAGAGACGGGGGAGAGGCATCATGGGGGAGAGACGGGGGAGAGACGGGTAGAGGCATGGGGGAGAGGGGGAGAGACGGGGAGAGACGGGGGGAGACGGGGAGAGACGGGGAGAGACGGGGGAGAGGCATCATGGGGGAGAGACGGGGGAGAGAGAGAGGCGGGGAGAGACGGGGAGAGACGGGAGAGACGGGAGAGGGGTAGAGGCATCATGGGGAGAGAGGGGGAGAGACGGGGGAGAGACGGGAGAGGACGGGGGAGAGACGGGGGAGACGGGGGAGAGACGGGTAGAGGCATGGGGGAGAGACGGGGGAGAGACGGGGGAGAGACGGGGGAGAGACGGGGGAGAGGCGGGGGAGAGACGGGGAGAGACGGGGAGAGACGGGGAAGAGATGGGGGGGAGGCATCAGAGGCGGGGGAGAGACGGGGGAGAGACGGGGGAGAGACGGGGAAGAGATGGGGGAGAGGCATCATGGGGGAGAGACGGGGGAGAGACGGGGGAGAGACGGGGGAGAGACGGGGGAGAGACGGGTAGAGGCATGGGGGAGAGACGGGGAGAGAGAGACGGGGGAGAGAGACGGGGGAGAGAGAGGCATGGGGGAGAGACGGGGGGGAGAGACATGGGGGAGAGACGGGGGAGAGACGGGGGAGAGACGGGGGAGAGACGGGGGAGAGACGGGAAAGAGACGGGGGAGAGGCATCATGGGGGAGAGACGGGGGGGAGACGGGGGAGAGGCATGGGGGAGAGACGGGGGAGAGACGGGGGAGACAGGCAAGACCCGTGTCTATGGTTCTGTGCGCGCGTCTGGTCCGCGCTCGGTACATGACCACGGCGTTGGCGGAGCTGTCAAAGCAGCCACAGTTTCTCCCGGGGTCAGAGGTCAGAGAGGATGAGAGCCGCAGCAGAAGTCAAGACATTAATATATCTCACGTAAATCAAAGTGTTATTTACTTCTGTTGCCATGTTGACGTACTAGAAACTAGTGAATAAACGCGCGAAAATAGTGTAAACTTATTCGAATATGTCTTAATGGAAACGGCCGCTTTTGCGAATTACAGGTTTTTTGAATTTTGAAATGTATCGAAAAAGTTTTTGCGCATTATTCAATGGAAACGCAGCTACAGACTCATGGTCCTGTGAAGCTAATGTAGTTAGGGCGACAGTAGCTCAGTTGGTAGAGCATTGGCCTTAAGGCCAGAAGGTCGTGGGTTCAATTCCCACCTCTGCACCTTCTCCATCGACTCCCACTGATGACTGCTGTCGTTGTGTCCTTGGGCAAGACACTTAACCGCACTGCCCAAAAGCCCCCACTGAAAGATCAAGGCTATGCTCACAGTCAGAGAGCAGCCGTCCTCCTGTGGACTCACCACCTGCAGAGGGTCAGTGAGGGGCTGGTGCATCTCTGACTGCCACCCCCCTGACCCAGGAATGGATTAAAGGGTAGAAAATGGATGGAATACTTTTCTCTACTGTATCCATTTAATTCTGTGCATAAATATCGCGATACTGAACAGAATCGATCCTCGTGGTTCAAAGATCATGGTGAGACTGAGGACAGATTGAAGTCACAACAGCAGCTGCACCAAAGCAGAGGATTGATGTTTTATAAACCTGGACATGTTCTCCTGTGCACTAATGCTAACACAGAGGCGTGAACGATGCTAATATCCCTCACAGCAGGAGCCACAAAAACAAGCTGCTACTTTCCCCAAAGAGAGAGACACATTTATCTTAAAGAAGGAGAAACAAGAGGAACTGGGAGCAGCGACACACATTGTTTATACAGCTCAGAGCACACAGGCGAGACACATACAGGAGCTAACAGGTGCTAACGGGAGCTAACAGGAGGTAACATGAGCCAACGAGAGCTAACGGGTGGTAAGAGAAGCTAACAAGCGGTAATGAAAGCTAACAAGAGCTAACGGGAGCTAACTGGAGCTAACGGGAGCTAAAAAAGTCCAAACCAAACCCCTTGGTCATGTCGCCTAATGCTTTTCTAATGTTTTCTAGATTCAAAGAAGCTTCACATTATTATTCTCTCACTCCAAACACAGTGGTGATAAACTAGACTGTAGCCACAGCTGCCCTGGGGAAGTGTCTTGCCTAAGGACACAACCACAGATGAGTTCTCCAGAGAGACAGTGATAGGTGACAACAATGATATTTATTAGGTACTTATTAGTCCTTATTCAACCTCTAACTGACAGTGCCCCTGTGGGTTAGGGTTAGCGCACACTTATTAGCACTTAATTAGCCGTTAATGAGAGAGGGCTAATCTAAAGTGTTACCAAAGTTTGCTTTAATTAAACATTACTCTCATCTTCAGACTTTTGTTCTTTGGCTTTTACTTCGAGCTGTTGGTCTTTCATTGTATTTATTCAGTCAGTATTTTAGCCTCATTCATGTTTTTAGTGTTTTTGTTATTCATAAATATCCTTTTCAATGACGATTGTTTAATATCGTCTTAATCCTGTCTCTGTGCAGCACCGAGGGAACGGTCGGTTTATGAAATGTGGGTTTTGGAAGCGACCAGTGAAGGACGAGGCTCAAACACATGATTTAAAACAGATTATTCAAAAGAACACAGTGATTAAACACAGGAAGCAGCGAGAGACAAACACAAAATATAAAAGCTGTAAATGTCACTCGTGTTTTCTGCTCAAACAAAACTTCATATTTAAGAGATTTACTCAAAACAAAAACTGTTTTTAAGAATCATGTTTGTAATTTAAGTACAAGACAAAGTACAACAAACTGGTCCAGAAGTATCAGCACTAGTAGTATCAGCAGTATCAGTATCAGTATCATCAGTAGTATCAGCAGCCGTAGTATTATTTCATTTCATTTCGTTTATTTGAGCTATTTGTGAGAAAAGACATAAAAAACAATGAACAAACAGGCATAATTTGCGCTGTATGCAATGATAAAGCAAGGCACACAGAAAAGCTCAAAAGGAGTAAGCAGAAGTATAAAACTTGTTAATGCTTACCCCTTTCTCATATTCTCATATTAGCAGCAGTAGTATCATCAGTAGTATCAGCAGCAGTTGTATCAGCAGCAGTAGTATCATCAGTATCATCAGTAGTATCAGCAGCCGTAGTATTAGCAGCAGTAGTATCATCAGTATCATCAGTAGTATCAGCAGCCGTAGTATTAGCAGCAGTAGTATCATCAGTATCATCAGTAGTATCAGCAGCCGTAGTATCAGCAGCAGTATCATCAGTAGTATCATCAGTAGTATCATCAGTATCATCAGTATCATCAGTAGTATCAGCAGCAGTATCATCAGTAGTATCATCAGTAGTATCATCAGTATCATCAGTATCATCAGTAGTATCATCAGTAGTATCAGCAGCAGTAGTATCAGCAGCAGTAGTATCAGCAGCAGTAGTATCATCAGTATCAGTACCAGCAGTAGTACCAGCAGTAGTATCAGCAGTATCATCAGTAGTATCAGTATAGGGCTGGGCGGTATAAACGGTATAAGCGGTAGACGGTATAAATTTGGCCCACGGTAGAGATTTTTGTTATACCGGCATATTGCGATAGGTCATTATGTCATCAAATTGCGCAGGCTCTGACGCCAGCAGAAAGGACCAAAACAAACCGGCATTCAGCAGCATTAGCCTAGCACATTAGCCTAGCAGACACCACTGGAAACAACAGCACGGCTTTCACACCGTGTTTCTGTCTCTGTATTGGTCACAGCGGCCCCAGCAGAGGTAAATACACACACAGCAATCACAGTTTAAGCGTCTACCTTTCGGCCAATGAGTGTCAAAGGGGCGTAGGCTCGAAGCGCCAGCGTGAGCCAAGATCCATGCTTGTGCCGTGTCCGCATCATCTCAGAAGTTTGGTAAAGGTAGCGTCCGATTCAGACTTCCGCGGTCAATAGATCACGAAAGCTACTTTGTTAAACAAAATTAATTGTGCCAAAATGAGCATTTACATCAATTGTTCAAATCAAATGCGCTGTTTTAATGCAGATAAATCCATTGAATCATCCAGTTCACAGCAAGCGCTTAGGGAGCGTCAACAAATGGCAAGACTAGCTTTGTAAACGAACAATAGCTTTTACTGAAGCCATGCATACGCACTAAACTCTGACACTATAAATAATGACCATGTCTAACTGCTACAGATATTATATAATATATTTTATATTTTTATATTATTTAAAATTGCTTTCACAGTAAATGGTCTTTACTGTAACATACATAAATAATGTATGTTACAGCATTTGTCTCTCACCTGATTTTCAAACTCAAAAAATATATCTATCTATCAGTAGTATCATCAGTATCATCAGTATCAGCAGCAGTAGTATCATCAGTATCAGCATCATCAGTAGTATCAGCATCATCAGTAGTATCGTCAGCAGTAGTATCAGCAGTAGTATCAGTAGTATCAGCAGCAGTAGTATCAGCAGCAGTAGTATCAGCAGCAGTAGTATCAGTAGTATCAGCAGTAGCATCAGCAGTTACCTGAGCCCTCTCTCCGTCGTACTTGTATTCACAGGTGAACGTGGCCTCGTCAAACCTCTTCATGACTTCTGCCACTCCTTTAGTGGGATGAGCCAACATGGGCCTCAGAGGGACTCCTGCAAACACAGGACCTTTAACCCTTTAGGCGCCAAGGAAATATAATAATATATTTTCAAGAAAATATACAATTTTGATTTCAAAAGGCTATAACTTTAAAATGGTTTGAGATAAAGGCATACTGTAAATTAGAAATATCTTCAGTTTGAACCAAACTTTGGGATGGAAGTTGATTCGTCATCTAATTTGCATATTGTGACGTCATCAAGGTGGCGGCCATTTTGGAAAATGTTAATTATTGTATAAAAACTTAAAAAAAGCTGTAGCTTGGGAGTTTTTTTTAGATCAGGAAATACTATAAACAGTCAGTGTGAAATATCTTTAGTATGAAATGAATTTGGGATATAAATAAATTCCCTGATCCAGATTATAGATAATGTTTTAGCACTGGTTCGCGGCCATACAGAATTGTATTATTTTCATAGACCTTCAGTGATCAAGACAGCACTCTTTATAGTTTACAGTCATGAAATCTGGAGTTTGGTTTCAATATTTCCCTTTCAAAGAAGTGGTGGGCATACTATTTTTCTCGGTGGAAATGAGGCTCCTGGATTTATGGTTTAGAAACAGAGAGATGAAATGAATGGGCTCAGAACATGTCAGATCGTCTCAACAAGAAACAACAGGCTCTTCAACACTTCTGATCCACTTTTGTGGATTATTTTCTCTCAAGAACTGCCTTGATCCTCATCATCACTGTTGGTAAAGGCAGTGAACGCGAAAAGCGATGTGTTTTATTCCCGCGGCTCTCCCGCGTCTCCCGTGTTCCCCGTGGATGTTTACCCCCGCTACTTTCTCCCACATGCCCGGTGTTATGATGCCCCTGTACCCTCGCCTCGACCACAGCCCCTGCTTGGCGTTCACAGAATGCTTCTACCGCGGCCACACGGAGGACAAGCAGCCGCTGCACAGAGGCTGATTGTGGACTATGGCGCGCGGTCTCCCCGTCACTAATAATGTGTGTCTGCTTCACTGGACACCTGTGTGCCTTCCTCCTCTGAATCTGAGTGAGCCAGTACCAGACCAAGTACTTCTCCGGTACTGAAGACCTCGTGAGTAAAATAAAAAACACTCTCTCCCTCTGCTCTGCTCTCGCTCCTCTCAGCTCTACCGCTGCTGCTTCGTCTCCGCGCTGCTGCGCCGCAGGTGATTTACGAACTCAATTTACTCAAAAACTTTCAATATAACCACACCCACAAATGCTGCTCATATTACAGGCACACATGTCCACTAACCCCTGGTGAAAAGTATTAACAAGATTCTGCACCACATTTTTACATACAGCCTGTTTAAGTGAGCAATGTTGCTTGTCGCAATATTGCGACTTTGGCGCTTAAAGGGTTAATCCTCCCACAGGCGGGAAATGTCAGGGTTGTCTTCCCTCCTCAGTGTTAATAATAATTGTAACAGAGTCTTATGTCCTCCATGTTTGTGAAGTCTGAGGAATATGAGGGACATGGATCATGATATATCACAGAATCACACACTGTATCGCGATAAGTTAAGAATCACATTACTATTGAATCCCAGCCCTAGTTTTTAAAGTCCCTGATTTTAGCCATGGAAGAGGCCAGACAACTTTATGTCAAAGTATTTGTTAAGGCCATAATTAGGTTTATATTAGAATGTCTAAAAAGTCTAAAATTAGTTCTGAAATTGAAAATCAGTATTTAAAAAGATCCTGAAATATTATAAGTTTGTTATTTATGATAATGTTCAATTTAGCAGTCTTAAATATGCCTTGTTTAGATCTAGAGAGGGCGGGACAGAGTATAGATGGATGACAGACATGGTTTTTGACTGCGCACACTATTCGATTTTTGTCAATAAAACGTTGGAAATGGATCTACGGCTACGTGTTGTGTTTGATGCTGTGAGTCACCCAAAGGAGGCTGCATGATTGCTTAGAGGCCAACACATAAAGTGCCCACACTCTGTCGTCAGGTAGAATCAAACCCATTTTAAAAACAGATCCTGAGTGCGTTTGCTCACGCCACAGATTTATCCGATTGCTGTAATTAAAACCATTTATTAGCTTTGTTTCTTTTTATTGGCGTTTGAGTCTCCGTCGCCTGCAGCCTCAAATCCAACTCATTCTTTAACCACGGGATAAAACGCTTTTGTGGCTGTGAAGTCTCAAAACACGTCGCATTTCTGGCTCATTTTTAACATCTTGGTGTTTACGGAGGTGTGCGCTGCCATCGATACAAGTGACAAATGAACTCACAATTAGTCTCAGAAAGTTTGGAGTTTTAGCAACATTTGAGGCACTTAATTTATTTACAATCTGTCACGTCGAAGGAAAGATTCTGACAAAGGGATAAACGTATACCTTCACTTTAAAGAAGACATATTACGATAAGTAGTAAGTGATATTTATCAATACAGCGAGAGAAACTCACAAAGAAATGTACAATTGTTGTTACATTTGTCTCTCACTCGTCTCAGAGATGGGGCAGGAGTCTACAGGAGGCACATGCCAGACCTATTGTACATGTCTTTAGTGGTAGGGGAAACCGGAGGACCTGGAGAAAACCTACACAGACACGGGGAGAACATGTAAACTCTACACATAAAGGCTTGAAGGTGGGATCGAATCTAGGACTCACACTTTAATAGCCCTGTTGCGACTGGGATTCTGTTTACCCTTGATAATTGTTTACACACACAGAGACAGATGGAGACTGAGAGACAGACGGAGACAGAGAGACAGAGACCCACAGAGAGACATAGAGAGAGAGGGGGGAGACAGAGAGACCCACAGAGACACATAGAGAGAGAGGGGAGAGACAGAGACCCACAGAGAGACTTAGAGATAGAGGGGGGAGACAGAGAGACCCACAGAGAGACTTAGAGATAGAGGGGGGAGACAGAGAGACCCACAGAGAGACTTAGAGATAGAGGGGGGGAGACAAAGAGACACAGAGACTTAGAGATAGAGGGGGGGAGACAGAGAGAGACACAGAGAGACTTAGAGATAGAGGGGGGGAGACAGAGAGACCCACAGAGACACATAGAGAGGGGGGAGACAGAGAGAGACACAGAGAGACTTAGAGAGAGGGGGGAGACAGAGAGAGACACAGAGAGACTTAGAGATAGAGGGGGGAGACAGAGAGAGACACAGAGACTTAGAGATAGAGGGGGGAGGCAGAGAGAGACACAGAGAGACTTAGAGATAGAGGGGGGAGACAGAGACCCACAGAGAGACTTAGAGATAGAGGGGGGAGACAGAGAGACCCACAGAGAGACTTAGAGATAGAGGGGGGAGACAGACAGAGACACAGAGACTTAGAGATAGAGGGGGGGAGACAAAGAGAGACACAGAGAGACTTAGAGATAGAGGGGGGAGACAGAGAGAGACACAGACTTAGAGATAGAGGGGGGGAGACAAAGAGAGACACAGGGAGACTTAGAGATAGAGGGGGGGAGACAGAGAGAGACACAGAGAGACTTAGAGATAGAGGGGGGGAGACAGAGAGACCCACAGAGACACATAGAGAGAGAGGGGGGAGACAGAGAGAGACACAGAGAGACTTAGAGAGAGGGGGGGAGACAGAGAGAGACACAGAGAGACTTAGAGATAGAGGGGGGAGACAGAGAGAGACACAGAGAGACTTAGAGATAGAGGGGGGAGACAGAGAGAGACACAGAGAGACTTAGAGAGAGGGGGGGAGACAGAGAGAGACACAGAGAGACTTAGAGATAGAGGGGGGAGGCAGAGAGAGACACAGAGAGACTTAGAGATAGAGGGGGGGAGACAGAGACCCACAGAGAGACATAGAGAGAGAGGGGGGAGACAGAGAGACCCACAGAGAGACATAGAGAGAGAGGGGGGGAGACAGAGAGACCCACAGAGAGACTTAGAGATAGAGGGGGGAGACAGAGAGGGGAGACAGAGAGAGACACAGACATTGAGAGCAAGAGAGACAGAGGACAGAGAGAGAAAGTTTGAGAGAGAGACAGAGACACAAAGTGACAGACAGCGAGAGAGAGAGACACACTCTAAATAAAATAATCATTTAATGTCCAAAAAAATGCCTAATTTTAATTCATTTTCAGGTAAACAGCCGGAGTTTCCGTCGCTCGCCCTTCACTGTACGGCCTCAGGATTACAAGATTCAAATCAACAATTACACAACACAGCTGAGGCTATTATTCCTCATCTCACTCTGTGCTTTTCCATTTCTAAACCTACCCATATTTGTTTTGATTGCGAGTAATTGCACTAATCAGTCTCTTTTGTTTGTGACCAGTGCAAATCCATCTGCCCTGCTCTGACCCATGGCTCCGGCAGAACCTCCAGCTCTGAGCAGAATACCAACCAGGTCCGGGCTGCAGTCGTAATAGACCAGAGACGGACAATTTTCTTTCTAATTTAAGATCCTCCGATTCTGGCATGTATTAATTCTGTCCGCTGCTGTGAGGCCCTTATCGCTAACTGCTTGACATGGGCATAATTGGGACTTAATCCTTTGTTTGGAGCATCGCTGTGATAAATGACTCCAGTGAAATAAGTGACCCTCCTCCTCCTCTTCCTCGTGCTCCGGGCGATCGATGAAGAAGCTCGCGGTAGATTCAAGCACAGATATTGGATTTCAAATGTCGGGACGGTTTTAGGCCTATTTTTAAGACGTGAGAGAAGTGGCAGTGACGCAGCTCAGAGGAAGAAGCAAAAGAATCGATCTGAAATGTGGAAAAATTGGGGGAAAGTTGCTGATTGTCGTTACTGATTGACCTCAGCTTCAGCGACAGACTGATCTACCCTCTGTGTGAAGGAGAGTTTTTCCCGTTTCTGTCAGACTGTACAGCGAACATTGAGGATGGGTGAAAACTGCCGATCCTGACTTGTATCAGATGCTGCTCACATGTACAGTGGAGAGAACGGTCAAAAATGTATTGACTCGATAGTATTGTGATATTTGGGTTTCAAGTCAATATTATTGTGATTCTAACATATCACGATACAGACAGTATTGTGTGTAGAACCAGTGATGAAGCAGTTTTCACAATAACTTCCTGTTGAATGAATGAACAAAGCCCCATAACCAGCGCCACCTTGTGGATGTCAGACGCAACTATACATAACTCATTAAATATCGCGATACGTTCTACTGTATCCATTTAATCGTGATACTGAACAGAATCTTTTTCCTTCACTGCTTGTAGTGAGAGCAAAGGAGCAGACAGACGAGTAAATGCTTGACCCTGCTCTGACTTCACATCTGTTACTTCCAAAATAAGAATCTGTGTCTTTGGTCGCAAACAATAATAACTTTAATAATCTCATTAAGTATGATATAGACCCAGATGTGTCTCTAACCCTGAAGCTGCTGATGCACAGATGTAAACAACTCTATATTCATGTTTAAGTATTTTACTTTCTTTATTCTGCTAAAGTTAGACACAATATTTTATTTTACATTTATTATATTGTTATTGTTCATTGACCTTGTGCTGTGTGCTCCTCTTTCTACTGTTGTGTAACTAGTCATGCAACACAAGTAGGTTTTCGGTGCAATTTTTTCTCTGGAGGTTTTCAGTGCAAGGTTTTTGTGTGCGATTGTCTCTAGGTTTTCCATGTGAGGTTTTCAGTGCGATTATTTTTTGCAAATTTCTCTATGTTTTTGGTGCGAGTTTCCCTCTCCAGGTCTTCGGTGCGAGGTTTTCTCTGTAAGGTTTCCTCTAGCTTTTCGGTGTGAGGTTTTCTCTAGCTTTTCGGTGTGAGGTTTTCTCTGCATGTCTTCGGTGCGAGGTTTACTTTGCACCTCACACAGGTTTAATCTGTGAGGTTATCGAAGTGAGGTTTTCTCTGCAGGTTTTCGGTGCAAAGTTTTCTCTGCAGGTTTTCCCTGCAAGGTTTTTGCTGTAGGTCTTCGGTGCGAGGTTGTGTTTCGTACCTGGAGTGAGCTTGCAGTGCTTGGGGAGCTCGTCGATGCCCTCCTTCAGAAGGACCGGGATGAGGACGTCGTAATTGGGCATTTCACTGGTCAGAGCAGAGAGAAAAAACACAATCAATGCAATCTCAGAGGGACCGGGGTTTTCAGAGTCTGCAGCAGGTATTCACTCCCAGCCACTTAATTTATTCCCCACAGTAAATAAATGTGATTGCCGAGACAGATGGGAGGAGCAGACAACGGCGAACCCACCGGGAGACGGCGAGGGAGGTCAATAACAGAATCAATACAGAAATATAGACCCAGGTTTTATAAAGTGTTGTCAAGTGTCATTTCTTTGGCAAACAGGTTTTTACAGACAGTGGAGAGGGATCTGTGGATAAACTGAACAAAGGAGACCACGATGTTAGTAAAACATGTGATCGTACTTTTGAGACGAGCTGATTGGCTACGAGAGGGTGGTTAGAACAGTCTTATATTAGCGTATGGTTAGCTAGCAAAGACTCAGACTTAACAATGCAAACTAAAAGTCTAAACACATTGTCAGAGAGACAGGACTGAACTGGGGGCGAATCTAGACTGAATCTAGACTGAATCTAGACTGAATCTAGACTAGACTGAATCTAGACTGAATCTAGACTAGACTGAATCTAGACTGGACTGAACCTGGACCAAACTGGGACTGAACCGGGACTGAAACCAGACTGAACCAGGACTGAACCTGGACCAAACTGGGACTGAACCTGGACCAAACTGGGACTGAACCGGGACTGAAACCAGACTGAACCAGGACAGAATCTAAACTTGACTGAACCAGGACTGAACAAGGACTGAACAAGGACTGAACAAGGACTGAACAAGGACTGAACAAGGACTAAACCAGGACCAAACCAGGACCAAACCAGGACCAAACCAGGACGGAACCATAGACTGGAACATGGACTGAACATTGACTAAACCAGGTCTGAATCTATACTGGGCTGAACCAGGACTAAACCAGGACTAAACCAGGGCCAAACCCGGTCTAAACTGTAGCATCTGGACGTTCTAAAGCTTGTTTTTGTTACCAATAGGTCTGTTTGAGGATAAGCGTCTTCTCTTCGATCCAGGAGCGTTTCCCGTCGTTGCTCATGCCTTTCCCGGCGTCGATCACAGCAGGAGGGAAGTCTGAAGAGAGAAGAGCAGGAAACACTTCAAAACAACATTACAACATATTTACAACTCTATGTGTGCGTCTGCCTGAAGTGGGGGTAAAGTAACTCTGGAATAAACTGTGAGTGATGGACATTGTGCTTTTGTCTGATACACAGCTGCATTCTACGCCACAGGATTATTACAGAACTTTAAAAAGACTAAATCTTCTTTTACCTTATAAACATATTACAACCTCAGTGACCGAGTTTCATCACCTCAATACAATAACAACCAACTAAAGTATGGCTGGGCTGCAGTCACATGACCTGAAGGGGGCGTGGCTTGAGGCCGTAGGACAGGAAGTGTTTGTCTCCCATTAGTTAGACAGGGACCTCTACCATTAGTGAATTATTTCAATATTTTCAACAAAGAGGAGCTGTTATAGTGACGACAGTGGAGTCATTCAGGGATCAACAGATACTCATCCAAGAACTTCTGATCAATAATTACATAAATGAGGCATAAATGTTACTTCTTTAGCAGTAAAATAATAAACGTTAAGATCCAGTCAAATGGCTTCTTTAATGCCAAGTGTCTTAGATTACACCACACCATGTTAGAAATGTACTAAAATAGCAGAATGACCTTTCCTACTTCTACCACTAAACAGACGGATTTCATTTCCCTTTTTTAATTTGAGCAAAAAACAACATTATTACTGGTATATTTTGTACTAAAAAGGAAGAAATAGAGGCTTTATGGTGATGCACGAGGGTCTAAGAACTGTGAGGAAGATTGAAGGATATTTATGGACATTTATAAACAATTAACATTCAAGGATATTGGTCTCTGCCCCTTTATGGAGTAATGGCTCCTACGTGTTTGTTATTATTGCATTGATTCTCTGATCTGCATTTCCTCAGAGACACTACGACTGCTACTGCTGTGATTTAGGGCTATACAAGATAAATGTATGAGAAGTCCAAAGAGATCCAGGTCATGTAAATATTACCTTGTGCGGGTGGCGTCAGACACACGGCTTGGCTCAGAGCAGACAGGACGCTCAGCTCGGCCAACCCTATTCTGAGTTTCCCGGCCAGCGACCTGTCAATCAGAAACAAAGCGGCGTCTGGTTTATGTATTCACGTGAGCGCTGCAGCTGCCACCAAACAGCCGCTCTGTCAAAACAACCTGCGCTGCTTTCACAATCTGCATAAAGAGAGGACAGAGAACAGAGAGAGAGAGAGAGGACGGAGGGGACAGAGAGAGAGAGAGGACAGAGGGGACAGAGAGAGAGTGAGGACAGAGAGAGAGAGAGAGAGAGAGAGGACAGAGGGGACAGAGAGAGAGAGAGAGGACGGAGAGAGAGAGAGAGAGAGGACAGAGAGGACAGAGAGAGAGAGAGAGAGGACAGAGGGGACAGAGAGAGAGAGAGAGGACGGAGAGAGAGAGAGAGAGAGAGGACAGAGAGGACAGAGAGGACAGAGAGGACAGAGAGAGAGAGAGAGAGAGGACAGAGGGGACAGAGAGAGAGAGAGAGGACGGAGAGAGAGAACAGAGAGAGAGAGAGAGAGAGAGAGAGAGGACAGAGAGAGAGGACGGAGAGAGAGAGAGAGAGAGAGGACGGAGGGGACAGAGAGAGAGAGAGGACAGAGGGGACAGAGAGAGAGAGAGGACAGAGGGGACAGAGAGAGAGAGAGAGGACAGAGGGGACAGAGAGAGAGAGAGAGAGGAGAGAGAGAGAGAGAGAGAGAGAGGACAGAGAGAGAGAGAGAGAGAGAGAGAGAGAGAGAGAGGGACAGAGGGGAGAGAGGAGAGAGAGAGGACGGAGAGAGAGAGAGGACAGAGAGGACAGAGAGAGAGAGAGAGAGAGAGAGGACAGAGGGGACAGAGAGAGAGAGAGAGGACGGAGAGAGAGAACAAGAGAGAGAGAGAGAGAGAGAGAGAGAGAGGACAGAGAGAGAGGACGGAGAGAGAGAGAGAGAGAGAGGACGGAGAGGACGGAGAGAGAGGACGGAGAGAGAGAGAGAGAGGACAGAGGGGACAGAGAGAGAGAGAGAGGACAGAGAGAGAGAACAGAGAGAGAGAGAGGACAGAGGGGACAGAGAGAGAGAGAGGACGGAGAGAGAGAGAGAGAGAGAGAGGACAGAGGGGACAGAGAGAGAGAGAGAGGACAGAGAGAGAGAACAGAGAGAGAGAACAGAGAGAGAGGGAGAGAGAGGACAGAGGGGACAGAGAGAGAGAGAGAGAGGACAGAGAGAGAGAGGGAGAGAGGACAGAGAGAGGACAGAGAGAGAACAGAGAGAGAGGACAGAGGACAGAGAGAGAGAGAGAGAGAGACAGAGAGACAGAGACAGAGAGAGAGAGAGAGACAGAGAGAGAGAGGACAGAGAGAGAGAGGACAGAGAGAGAGAGACCAGAGAGAGAGACCATGGAGAGACCAGAGAGAGAGATCAGAGAGAGAGACCAGAAAGAGAGACCAGGGAGAGACCATGGAGAGACCAGAGAGAGAGAGAGAGAGAGAGAGAGGACAGAGAGAGAGACCAGAGAGAGAGACCAGAGAGAGACCAGGGAGAGACCATGGAGAGACCAGGGAGAGACCAGAGAGAGAGACCAGAAAGAGAGACCAGGGAGAGACCATGGAGAGACCAGGGAGAGAACAAAGAGAGACCAGAGAGAGACCAGAGAGAGACCAGAGAGAGACCAGAGAGAGACCAGAGAGAGACCAGAGAGAGACCAGAGAGAGACCAGAGAGAGACCAGAGAGAGACCAGAGAGAGACCAGAGAGAGACCAGAGAGAGACCAGGGAGAGACCAGGGAGAGACCAGGGAGAGACCAGAGAGAGACCAGAGAGAGACCAGGGAGAGACCAGAGAGAGACCAGAGAGAGACCAGGGAGAGACCAGGGAGAGACCAGGGAGAGACCAGGGAGAGACCAGAGAGAGACCAGAGAGAGACCAGGGAGAGACCAGAGAGAGACCAGAGAGAGTGTCTGTCCTCTCCGTCACGGACTAACCCTCGTATGAATTGTGTATTGCAGACTTTACCTGACGATGTAGCGAGCTTCGGAGAAACGGCACGCCACGAAAAGCCCTTTGATGATGTCGATTTTCTTATTCATGGCCTGAGGCGGCAGCGGCGACGACGGGAAATTGAGATTCACAGAAGGAGCAGAAGGGGAGGCAGAGAATGCAAAAGACTGGGGTCACTTTACAGAACAAACGCATTGGAAATATGCACATGACACGGGTCCGTATGAAAGGAGGTAATTGTTTCAGACTGCAGGGTTTGTGTTAGACTTATGCAAACACTGGAGGACAGCGAAATGTTAAACCCAGCTCTAGTGTATGTTCTCTCTGCAGCAAAGGTACAGAGGAGGCCATGGCTCTCCAACATGTAGCCCCCAAACAATCATTCTATGAGTAAATATATAAAATGCTCAACTTTAGCACTAATAGATGGACGATTGTTTTACACTATACACCAAAACAAATGTCCAAAAGGAGATAGAAATTGAGAACTTTTTGATGGCCAGCAAATGTATTTCTTCTTCCTTTGGCAAAGAGAGAGGACAGAGAGAGACCAGACAGTCTGTGCCTGTCCCCTCTATCATGGACAGAATTAATTGTATAATTAATATCACATGTTTTATTATGTTTAATCATCACATATATCTAAAACATGTGTTGATAAAACATTTGATAGTAGCGTATATTAGCTTCCTAGTCCCACACTCACCGAGTTCCCGCTCATGGCTGCGATCTCCTTGAGTTTCTTGAAGACGGCGGCGGCGGTCAGACTGGCCGGTTGGAACATCATCCTCTGGTTACTGCGAGAGCTCTCTGCCACCAGCCCCAGGTCTCCTCGCTCCTGAGCCTCTGCTTTGATCTTATCCAGCTGTCGCCCTGTGGGAGAGGAACCACCACTTACTCTACAGCAGGCATGGAGAAGAGAGGAACCACCACTTACTCTACAGCAGGCATGGAGAGGAACCACCACTTACTCTACAGCAGGCATGGAGAAGAGAGGAACCACCACTTACTCTACAGCAGGCATGGAGAGGAACCACCACTTACTCTACAGCAGGCATGGAGAAGAGAGGAACCACCACTTACTCTACAGCAGGCATGGAGAAGAGAGGAACCACCACTTACTCTACAGCAGGCATGGAGAGGAACCACCACTTACTCTACAGCAGGCATGGAGAGGAACCACCACTTACTCTACAGCAGGCATGGGCATGGAGAGGAAACACCACTTACTCTACAGCAGGCATGGGCATGGAGAGGAAACACCACTTACTCTACAGCAGGCATGGGCACGGAGAGGAACCACCACTTACTCTACGGCAGGCATGGAGAGGAACCACCACTTACTCTACGGCAGGCATGGGCATGGGCACAGAGAGGAACCACCACTTACTCTACAGCAGGCATGGGCACGGAGAGGAACCAACACTTACTCTACGGCAGGCATGGAGAGGAACCACCACTTACTCTACGGCAGGCATGGAGAAGAGAGGAACCACCACTTACTCTACGGCAGGCATGGGCATGGGCACAGAGAGGAACCACCACTTACTCTACGGCAGGCATGGAGAAGAGAGGAACCACCACTGACTCTACGGCAGGCATGGGCATGGGCACAGAGAGGAACCACCACTTACTCTACGGCAGGCATGGGCATGGGCACAGAGCGGAACCACCACTTACTCTACGGCAGGCATGGGCATGGGCACAGAGAGGAACCACCACTTACTCTACAGCAGGCATAAACCTGGACCGAACTAGGACCGAACCTAGACTGGACTGAACCTGGAATGAACCTAAACCTGATTTCGTCTTAAACCAGTACTAAACCAGTACTAAACCAGGACTAAACCAGTACTAAACCAGTACTAAACCAGGTTTAAACCAGGACTAAACCAGTACGAAACCAGTACTAAACCAGGACTAAACTGTAGCATCTCAATATTTCAAAGCTTGTTACCAATAGGTCTGCCAGGCACGACCAAACTCAGGCCCGAGGGACAACTGCGGCCCGCTTTTGTCATTCTATGTGGCCCTTTGCCCATCTATGCCAACCCAAAAGGAGAATGTTTATCCTTTATTTGTCCCACAATGGGGAGATTTCAGTTTGATGCACACACACACACACACACACGTCTCTGGTACCGACCTGTGGCCTGAGCGACTGCCTTCATCAGAACCGTCTCGCCCACTCCCAGCTCCACGCCGAGATAAGCCGGTCCCAGCTGGTTCAGACACAGGTACACACAGCACAGGAGGTCGTCTGTGGAGAGGTCAGAGGTCAGAACCACCAGTGTTTTTATGCTGCTCACATGAATTGCCCCTGATGGGTTGAATAAAGTGGTCTGAATCAGAATAAGATTTATTGTATTGCCATGCGAGTAACTCTTTAATGTCAACTAAACACACCTAGTCGCAAAAAGATCGGGAGGCAGCCAAATGAAAAGTCGCAGTTTCACACAGTTCTCGAGAGGAGTAGAGTAGGTTTTGTACGAGTGAATTAGTCTTCGAGAGGACCGCCGTTGATACTAATGTGCCATCCCTTTCGCCTTCTAAGGGCATATTCAAAATGGCCGTGAGGGCTGGAAATGGTGAAAAAACGACTAAACTAGACAGGTCCAGAAAAAGAAAAACTCCCCTCAGCATTGACACACATGTGGAACAGAGCTTTGGACCAAGACCCACTTTAGGACCATCCTGTAAAGACGTCTGAGAGGTAAGAAAATGCTATCCATAAACATCTGCTCTTACTTATCCTGGGTCCACCCCCACTGGCCCGGGTGGTATTGCAGCATGTCAGCGCACGTCATTTTGGACATTATTGAGCCGAGACCTGCACACCTACAAAGACCTCTCTCTCTCCTGAGCTGCTTGTACTCTCTGTATGCAGAGACTCAAACGTCTGGGTGTGTGTTGGGGCAGACTGGGACTGTGCAGAATGAAGCTGTACATAGAAGGACGGTGTAATCTGCTCCACGAAGCCTCAGAGAGAACTGCTGATGTTAAGTTTTGTTCCTACTCTCTTCATTTTCTGCACTCACTCCATTTGCTTTGAAAAGACTTACTCTACATTCACTTCTGTCACTCAGTTTTGGGATTAAAATCTATGGCTCTGGCTCCAGGTTCCTGCCCACGGAGCCTTTTTACGTTACCTCTAATTTGCTTCGTATGGAAAAGCCAAAGGGTAAATTCAGAGTGTTTCCACTGCTGTCAACAGTCTATGATCTGCTCCGTCAGTGGATATTCCTATGTAAGAATCTGTTTAAACTCCCAAAGTACTTCAAACTAGAACTGGACTCTAAACTTACACCTTAGTCCAAGTAAAGGGACTGAAGGCGTTTGCACAGAGTCTGTTTTTTTAGTCCAAAATTGTCGCACGTAAAAAAGCAACAAACCCACGTTATGTCAATTACGCTTCGTTTTTTTTAACAAATTTTCATTCCGTGAGACGCTGGTCTTGGGTGACTCTGAAACCATCACCAAAACAGTTAATAAGGTTCATTTATTGTCCTGTTGTCTGTACAAAGGTTTATGTTGTTTCTTCTTTGAGTCTTAACTCCCACCAGCTCCAACACCAACCGAGCTTACTCTGTCATGTACCACCCTTTACACTTGTTATTGATGCTAGTGTTAATTATGTTTTATTTAGTTAGTATAATGAAAGACCAAGGCTGGGGCACCCATCTTCCTGTGGACCCACCCCCTGCAGAGGATCAGAGGGGCCGGTGCTGTGAGACTTGGGTGCAGCTCTCATTGTCACCCCGACGACCCAGAAATGGACTAATAAAGAGGTAGAAAATGAATGAATGAATTATTAGTATAGCTATTGTTTACTTATCTGTGCTCCTCTTTCCTACTGCTCTATAACTTGTGATGCAACACTGAAATTTCCCCACTCTGAGACTAATAACGGATCTCTTAATTAACTCTTTATTATACAAATTAGTGTTACATCCACAGCCATTGGTCTTCAGGTCTAATGATATAGCTATTCTTACAGATGTCTGCTGTCGTTGTGTCCTCGGGCAAGACACTCCGCTTTGCCTGTGTGTCTGTGTGTGTCTCTGTGTGTGTCTGTTTTGTCTGTGTGTGTCTGTACCGTGTGTGTGTGTGTGCGCGCACCGTACATGTGTGTGTCTGTGTGCTGTACGTGTGTGTGTCTGTGTGTGCCTGTCTCTGTGTGTGCCTGTCTCTGTGTGTGCCGTGTGTGTGTGTGTGTGTGTGTGTGTGTGTGTGTGTGTGTGTGTGTGCGTGTGTGTGCAGAACAGAGCAGTGTTAATTATCTGTTGTACGGTTATGTCTGTTTCTGGTAGAATTGAATAAACAGTTTAAATGGACTGAGCAGAAGAACCAGAGCTTTTCTAACGATGGAGAATGTTCGTCTGAGCTAATTGGGGTCGAGACCTCCTGGAAACAGTCTTTAGCAACAAACTTCACCTTGAAAATGGAAAAAACTACATTTATATGAAAGCACGACCCAAGCGCACACTGTTATGGTTTTGTTAATGTCTATAACACTCATTAACTGGAGTGTTTAGCTACATAGGGGCTGGTGCTCTGTGTACTGGGTGCAGCTCTGGCCACCCCCCCGACCCAGAAATGGATTAAGGGGAAGAAAATGGATGGATGGATGGATGGTTTAGCTACACTCAACTCTATCCACAGTATCTGCGAGGACTTCACTAAGTTGTTGATTCGCCAACATAGTTTAGAGAATCAAACCGTTCTAACACAGGAAATGCAACGATGTTTGAGCATTTTCCTTTTACATGGATGTGTGTGAATGTGAAGCACTTTGGGTGAGCTGCTGGTGTTGTAAACGCGCTATAACAATAAAGTTGACATTGACATAAGGAGCAGAGACCAATGTCCATAAATGTGTTTGATCACTGTCATTACCAGACTTCTCACTGGTTTGAACAGAAAGGAGCACATGTGCGTTTTAGAATTGATTTTAAAGGAGCTATACCCGTTTCTGCAATGTTTGAATGTTTAGCCCCGCCCCCCAACTCGCTCACAGGCTTCTCATTTCCCCTACGCTCTCATAACACGGAGCCACCTAGTTTTATTTGCGATCTGACATGTATGCTAACATTAGCATTAGCGCAACTTCTTGTAAGCTGTGCAACAATCACTGATGAAATGGTACAAAAGCAACGCACTGCTAACACAATATATAAGTAAAAGAAAACCATTAGTTTTGCGTCCGAATGTATTAATTTAAACATTAGAATATATTCTAATATATAATTATAATGTATTATAGAGCTCCTCAAAGCAGCAGCAGAACACTCCATTGACTTGAATGCAATTCTTCCGATCATTTTTTCTTGATAACAGAACTCTCAAATCAATAATGACCGCAGCCCCAATGCAATCTCTGTTTGTAATTCAGGTGTGTAAAATACTGCCATTACTCTGCAAGTACAACGAGAGAAGCTAGCCGAGCTAGCGGAGCTAGCCACGCTCAATAAACAATCAATCAACACCATTAAACGTTAATCGGACAATACAGTACACATATACATCCTTAACACACATGCACGGACGATTTCTGAATTTGCTGTCAACGTTTTCATGACAAAAATACTGTTTTAACGTGACAAAAAGCCATCGCGAAAAACCCGGAAGTTACCATGAAACAGCTAGCTAGCTTAGCTGTTACCTGCCTAGTAGAGCCCTGCACGGGCCTATTATCTGGGCCCGAGCCCGGCCCTGGCCCGAGGGGGTGGCGCCCCAGCCCGGCCCGGCCCGATATGGTTTCTGAATTTTCAGGCCCGAAACCCGCATCAAGCCCGCCTTTTTTTTTTTTTTGTAACCTCCCATAACAATGTTTTAGCGTAGTATATAGTGCCGCGCACTGATATGAACGCAGACTTAGCTAGAGGGCGGAGTTATACATGGTAGTGATGTGTTGCAATGAGTTCTGTGTGTGCGGAGTGAACGGCCGCAGCTGTATGATGCCCCCGATGCTGCAACACATCTGGACATTACATAAGTAATGCTAAGTGCCGTCAATGACAACACTACACAGAACAACAAACAGTACAGCGTGATAGAACGCTATATTCAGTGGGTGCGTTCGTAAATCTATTCTGCCGCTCTGAAAACGAGCCCGGCCCGTGTCCGAGGTCATTATGCGGTCATCGGCCCGAAGCCCGGCCCTCGGGCTGTCGGGGCCCTCGGGCCAAGGGCTCAAGTGCAGGGCTCTACTGCCTAGCACGTCCCGGTGAAACCTTTGGGAGCTAACTATTTTATTTGCAGTCATTAAATAAATTTCGAATTATAAGGACTGTCTAATGTTTGTTTGAATATATATATATATATATATTATTATTATTTTTTTAATTTTAGAATTATATTCGAATGTTGAAGTTGAAGCCCTGGAGCAGCGCTGTAGAGACTAGAGGACACAGACTGTTCACTGTTAAGCAGCACTGTAGAGACTAGAGGACGCAGGCTGTTCACTGTTAAGCAGCGCTGTAGAGACTAGAGGACGCAGGCTGTTCACTGTTAAGCAGCGCTGTAGAGACTAGAGGACACAGTCTGTTCACTGTTAAGCAGCGCTGTAGAGACTAGAGGACGCAGGCTGTTCACTGTTAAGCAGCGCTGTAGAGACTAGAGGACGCAGGCTGTTCACTGTTAAGCAGCGCTGTAGAGACTAGAGGACGCAGGCTGTTCACTGTTAAGCAGCGCTGTAGAGACTAGAGGACGCAGGCTGTTCACTGTTAAGCAGCGCTGTAGAGACTAGAGGACGCAGGCTGTTCACTGTTAAGCAGCGCTGTAGAGACTAGAGGACGCAGGCTGTTCACTGTTAAGCAGCGCTGTAGAGACTAGAGGACACAGGCTGTTCACTGTTAAGCAGCGCTGTAGAGACTAGAGGACACAGGCTGTTCACTGTTAAGCAGCGCTGTAGAGACTAGAGGACACAGGCTGTTCACTGTTAAGCAGCGCTGTAGAGACTAGAGGACGCAGACTGTTCACTGTTAAGCAGCACTGTAGAGACTAGAGGACGCAGGCTGTTCACTGTTAAGCAGCGCTGTAGAGACTAGAGGACACAGGCTGTTCACTGTTAAGCAGCGCTGTAGAGACTAGAGGACACAGGCTGTTCACTGTTAAGCAGCGCTGTAGAGACTAGAGGACGCAGACTGTTCACTGTTAAGCAGCACTGTAGAGACTAGAGGACGCAGGCTGTTCACTGTTAAGCAGCGCTGTAGAGACTAGAGGACACAGGCTGTTCACTGTTAAGCAGCGCTGTAGAGACTAGAGGACGCAGGCTGTTCACTGTTAAGCAGCGCTGTAGAGACTAGAGGACACAGGCTGTTCACTGTTAAGCAGCGCTGTAGAGACTAGAGGACGCAGGCTGTTCACTGTTAAGCAGCGCTGTAGAGACTAGAGGACGCAGGCTGTTCACTGTTAAGCAGCGCTGTAGAGACTAGAGGACGCAGGCTGTTCACTGTTAAGCAGCGCTGTAGAGACTAGAGGACGCAGGCTGTTCACTGTTAAGCAGCGCTGTAGAGACTAGAGGACGCAGGCTGTTCACTGTTAAGCAGCGCTGTAGAGACTAGAGGACGCAGGCTGTTCACTGTTAAGCAGCGCTGTAGAGACTAGAGGACACAGGCTGTTCACTGTTAAGCAGCGCTGTAGAGACTAGAGGACACAGGCTGTTCACTGTTAAGCAGCGCTGTAGAGACTAGAGGACACAGGCTGTTCACTGTTAAGCAGCGCTGTAGAGACTAGAGGACGCAGGCTGTTCACTGTTAAGCAGCGCTGTAGAGACTAGAGGACGCAGGCTGTTCACTGTTAAGCAGCGCTGTAGAGACTAGAGGACGCAGACTGTTCACTGTTAAGCAGCACTGTAGAGACTAGAGGACGCAGGCTGTTCACTGTTAACAGCGCTGTAGAGACTAGAGGACGCAGGCTGTTCACTGTTAAGCAGCGCTGTAGAGACTAGAGGACACAGGCTGTTCACTGTTAAGCAGCGCTGTAGAGACTAGAGGACGCAGGCTGTTCACTGTTAAGCAGCGCTGTAGAGACTAGAGGACGCAGGCTGTTCACTGTTAAGCAGCGCTGTAGAGACTAGAGGACGCAGGCTGTTCACTGTTAAGCAGCGCTGTAGAGACTAGAGGACGCAGGCTGTTCACTGTTAAGCAGCGCTGTAGAGACTAGAGGACACAGGCTGTTCACTGTTAAGCAGCGCTGTAGAGACTAGAGGACACAGGCTGTTCACTGTTAAGCAGCGCTGTAGAGACTAGAGGACGCAGGCTGTTCACTGTTAAGCAGCGCTGTAGAGACTAGAGGACGCAGGCTGTTCACTGTTAAGCAGAGCTGTAGAGACTAGAGGACACAGGCTGTTCACTGTTAAGCAGCGCTGTAGAGACTAGAGGACACAGGCTGTTCACTGTTAAGCAGCGCTGTAGAGACTAGAGGACACAGGCTGTTCACTGTTAAGCAGCGCTGTAGAGACTAGAGGACGCAGGCTGTTCACTGTTAAGCAGCGCTGTAGAGACTAGAGGACGCAGGCTGTTCACTGTTAAGCAGCGCTGTAGAGACTAGAGGACGCAGACTGTTCACTGTTAAGCAGCGCTGTAGAGACTAGAGGACGCAGGCTGTTCACTGTTAAGCAGCGCTGTAGAGACTAGAGGACGCAGACTGTTCACTGTTAAGCAGCGCTGTAGAGACTAGAGGACACAGGCTGTTCACTGTTAAGCAGCGCTGTAGAGACTAGAGGACGCAGGCTGTTCACTGTTAAGCAGCGCTGTAGAGACTAGAGGACGCAGGCTGTTCACTGTTAAGCAGCGCTGTAGAGGCTAGAGGACACAGGCTGTTCACTGTTAAGCAGCGCTGTAGAGACTAGAGGACACAGGCTGTTCACTGTTAAGCAGCGCTGTAGAGACTAGAGGACACAGGCTGTTCACTGTTAAGCAGCGCTGTAGAGACTAGAGGACGCAGGCTGTTCACTGTTAAGCAGCGCTGTAGAGACTAGAGGACACAGGCTGTTCACTGTTAAGCAGCGCTGTAGAGACTAGAGGACACAGGCTGTTCACTGCTCGTTCTGTGAGCGGAGGAGAACGTCCCGCTAAGACTCTACTCAGCACTTTTCACTGCATACATTTCATACACAGCTGAATCAATGACCTCAAGTTTTCAATTAAATGATGTATTATGATACAACTTGTATGTAGTAAAGAGCATTTTTATGAACTACTTAGAAAAGAAATCGGGTATAGCTTCTTTAAGATTTTACTGATTACTTTTGAAGCTCGTTTAGGTCTGGCACCAAGCTATATTCATGAACTGTTAACCCCCTACGTATTTTCTCTTTAATTCTTCTGTCTATGATCTTATAATAATAGTCTGTTTGAAGTGTGCGTCAGCCTTATTTCCTTCTTTCTCTACTGTAATGTAAATTCCCGCACTGTGGGAAGAATAAAGGAATATCTTATCTTGTCCTTCTTCACCCAGAGAGCTACTTTCTCAGGATTAGAACGAGGCCGAGCTTATATAAAAAGAGTTGATTAAATGGTGAGGAGGAACTGTTTCTATGAGTCATTGTTTCCAAATACATTTTTCATTTCCTGAAGATGTGGGAAAGAGAATCATACATGTTTGAAATTCAGGATATAGAATCTAAATCCTTTGGAGAGCTACTTGGGAGGGGGTGGAGAGCTACTGGTATCTCCCGAGCCACAAGATGGAGACCCCTTCGACCCTGCTGCACTGGCAAAGAACTAAAAACACCCAGAGACTAGAACTAAAAACCTAAAGTTACAGAAACTGTCAAAATAACTTTTAGTCTTTCACAAAACAGCACTGATGTTAAAATGGTGGCTTCTGGAACTAACTTATTCTGGAATATTTAGAGAAAAAGTAAGTTCCATAAACTCTGGGATGTGTTTGTGGAGCCTCTTTGTCAGCTCCAAATTGGACTGGGCCTAAAATAGAAGCATCTTTGACACAGAGCTTTATCCTGGACTCACAGGAGCCACAGAGAAGAACGCAGAGTCACTATGCTTCAGAGAAACACAGAGTCATTATGCTTCAGAGAAACACAGAGTCATTATGCTTCAGAGAGAAACACAGAGTCATTATGGTTCAGCTTCAGAGAGAAACACAGAGTCATTATGGTTCAGCTTCAGAGAGAAACACAGAGTCATTATGCTTCAGAGAGAAACACAGAGTCACTATGCTTCAGCTTCAGAGAGAAACACAGAGTCATTATGCTTCAGCTTCAGAGAAACACAGAGTCATTATGGTTCAGAGAGAAACACAGAGTCATTATGGTTCAGAGAGAAACA